AGAACACAAAAAACCCATGAAATGATTTCGGTAGATTTTGATAAAAATGCTCCAGATGCTGTCTTCCAACAGATATTCAATATCCTCATGAAATAGCTGTGCACAGGAAAGGTAGCAAATTACCCCAGTGTTGATGAAATGGAGACAAGGATGTTTTTGTTTCATTAACTATTCAGAGATGAAACACATACTGAGAACGCCAACCTTAAAAGCAGGTGTTTCCGAAAGGCTTCATTTCCTTGAGAAATTCCCCACACATCAGTCACATACACATCAAAACTACACACTGAAACCTCCTCACCAGTATTATACAGGCATTTCAAACAGGATGTGAAATACATAATAATGATGATTTGTATGGCCACTGGCCCAAAATAAAGAGAGAGGAGTCTCTGGTTTCTCTACCGACCCTAATTTAAAGCTGCAACCTTGATTTTTAGTTGTAGCTACACCTACAAAAAGAGAACATGACAAAATTCCCTGCTTAAGTTTACAGTAGCGTTCTAAACACAGATATTTGGATGAAAGTATTTGCATGATACAATGTACCTTAATTGCTGACCACCAGGTTGTTTTCAAACTGTGTTTCATGTTTGGTGTTTGCTGTATTAAGCAATAATCTAACTACATGATGGTTGACCTGACAATCTGGTGATTGGATGGTTGGTTTGTTGTTTTAACGCCACACTCAGCAATGTTCCAGCTATATGGCGGCGGTCTGTAAATAACTGAATCTGGACCAGACAATCCAGTGATCAACAGCATGATCATCGATCTACTCAATTGGGATTCGATCACATGTGTCAACCAAATCAGCGAGCCTGACCACCCGATCATGTTACTGTTAGTTGCCTTTTATGACAAGCATGGGTTGATGAAGTCCAATTCTGGTGATTGATAATATGAGCGATATTTATTCCTGTCATCTGGGTATGATGACATACAATAAACCAAACGTCAGAGTCTGACCACCTCATCCTTTCGTCACCTTTAACGACCAGCATAGGCTGCAGGTGAGCAGCTTTCTTATGGGGTATATATGTACCATATATCATACATAGGCATTGAGCATGGTTGGTGAGTGAGTGAGTGAGTGAGTGAGTGAGTGAGTGAGTGAGTGAGTGAGTTTTGGGTGTGTGTGTGTGAATAAGTGGAAAATCCCAGATGAGTGTCGAAAATCATGTGGGGAAATTGCACCATCTTATATGATTGTAAAGTCCACCACTACACACCTTACACAATGACTACTGATGACCTATTACTCATAACCAACAAGTCAGGTGAAGGGAACATGGCAAGGTGTTTCACTTTGCCCAGCTTGATTAGATAAAACAGATATGGCATGTTACCTTGAAACGGCTAAGGATGAAACTGAAGTTTACAGACAAGCAAATTATTTCTTCCATCAATTATAGTGAATGAGAAGAGCCGGACGCAGCATGAATATTATTCCAGTTTAATCACAGTCTGTCAACTTTGAGCCCAAAATATTAGAGCTGTGACGATATATCATAGTATCGATAATCATGATACTTTATCTGACAATAAATATATCGATACTTTGTTTCATATCGTGATATGTATCGTTGACCTTAAAGTAGTGAATTTCCACTAGAAATTGACGGTTATGTCGAAATTTACACTGTTACTTGCTATCAAAATATACTTTTAAAAGAAAATAACTAAAGATAGCATATCGTGATATGCATCGAATCGAATCGTATCGTTCCAAGATATCGTGATACGTATCGTATTGCGAAATTTCTGTATCATCACACCTCTACAAAATATTGACCAATCTGTACCAGCCTGAACTTATCTCAGATTTGGTGCTGGTATGAACTGTTGTCATTGGCGAAACTTTACACTACATTTGGTCAACAGATTAGTGGATAAGTCACAGACTGAATGTAGACTACAAAACTCTGGTGATGCCTTGAGTCACTGAGCAATAGTACAGTTGCGTTCTGAGAGATCAAGGACAATAATGGGAGTGAACCTTTCTGGATCCTAAACAGCAAAGGTATGCAACTTTACACTCCCTCGGTGCCCTTTGGCAAACTGTGTACCCAAATCACTTCTTAATTTCTTACAGCCCATCATTATGATCATTAAAGGTTTCTGTAGGTAATAAAGGTAAGTTCATCTTGCGAGAGTTTTACGTAAACACATCAATATCAAGAGCCTGAGCTTCCTTGTTGAATTTCTTGCTGTGGAACTCATAAAGTATCATATATTACCCAGGTCATAGGCGGATCCAGAAGGGGGGTGCAGGGGTGCACCCCTTTTGTCCTGAACGTTTATTAAATGACCATTGAAACTCGGTGAAAATGACGTGCACCCTCCCATTTCTCAATAGTATGCACCCCCCTTTCTAAAAAAGCTGTATCCGACCCTGCAGGTATATATCTCACTTAATAAGACAACGTCATCCATATCTCCTACCTATCTTTCCTACTATGTCCAAGACATATATTTAACTTTGTGGTAGTAATAGACCCCCAGTCCTAAAGAAACTTTTAAACATGTTAAATTTGCAGAATATGTATTGAGCAAAAAATATAAAATGTGTCATATTATCACAGGCAACACATCCTACACTTATTTGAAATTGTTGTCTTGAAATCACAGAGAAGAGAAAAGGAACTTCCTGAATAGGAAAAGGCACTTGCTTGATGTTCATAAAAAGTCTCACAACTAAATATTGAAAGTCTTATTGGTTAGTCTCTGGAATATGATCGCTTTGTGAAAAGCTCGAGCCACCCAGCAAAATACCAGAGCAATATCCTTGAGTGGGACACCCAAAATGCACTTGTACAGATGGGAAAAGACTGATACCCATTCTCAACATTAGGCTTTTTCCCTTTGAGACACAAAAACATATCAAAATTTTCTAACCAGAATATAAAATGAATCAATTCAGTATTTATACATCATACCAAAAACGTTTCACAAGGACATATTGATCATAGACGTTAGAAAAATAGATATTAATGCGAACTCAGTAAAATATTAATTCTCAATGGTGGTTTTCAAGCTTGATAATGCAGTCATCACCTAATGTGATCATCTACAGCAGTTCCTGAAACATCCTGTGTTCGTTTGAGGCAATGTGCATAATGTGCCAGAGAGCAAAAATGGTTGATAACTCTGTACAACACCTCGAGAATGGTTTTAAAACTTGATCCACACACACCATAATATTCCTAAATATTCTCTGCATAATGTCACCCTTGCAACAATAGCTATTTACAAGAAAATGTGTCCCATTCAAAGGTGAGTGAGTATGGTTTTATGCCACTTTTAGCAATATTCCAGCAATATCACATCAGGGGGCACCAGAAATGGGCTTTACATATTCCACCCATGTGGGGAATCGAACCCGAACCTGGCTTGATGAGCAAACAATTTACCACAAGGCCCCTCATTTTAGCATACAGGGTAGCATGCCTTAAAACAGTAGGACAAGGGCCCAACTGTGTATCAATACAAACAAGATATATATAATGTCATGATGGTAATCTAATTCCCTCAACATGCTTTTCCCTTAATAAGTTACATATTTAAGTCTTGCTTGTATTCATAGCATTATAGGGATGGTTGTAGCGCTCAAAACTAGAGCAGCATGTACTTTATATTTTAATGATGTGTGCAAAAAAATCATCTTAGCATCAATCATGTTTTCCCAAAAAACATTCTCAGATTGGATGGATGGAGCCCTTATTTACACCACTTGTCTCCAAGGGGTATAAGAAAAACTGTCACATGACAGGAATATTGCTGTCACATTCCTGCTTGACAACGGTAGAAGAATCTGTATCAAAATGTCACACTCACAAAATAAAAGAAGTTGTTATCCATAAAGTTTGTTCAATATTGTACTTCCCAACTTCTGAAATGCCACTCAAAGCAGTTAAATGAAGGAATATTGCTGCATGCCAAGTTAAAGAAATGGTCACAGGGGCTTGTACTACAAAAACTTGGCATCAAGGTATATAGTGTTAAGACCCTGTCAGTGACAGTATATACCTTGATGCCAGTTTTTTGTAGTACAAGCCCCTGTGGAAATAGAGATATGTCACAAAATGCAAGTTGTGTGTGTACTCTTAGATTACAATCATAGTTTGAGAAAAATAACTGAATAACGACTAAGCTTTCACTAAGACTTTTCTAGAGAAACTTGTTTGACTTAACATGTCACCTAATAGCTTAGAGATGACTCACTCAGTTAGCAAGGATTTGTCCTACATTCAAGCATAAAAAACGAATTGCGTTTCATCTCCAACTTAAGTTGTGTTGCATAATCTGTGAGGCCAAGAAAGATTCTTATACATAAATATACCTGTGCCCTCTCCCCTACTTATTTACACTTCTCTGACTTAACGATTGCCTGAACTGATCAACAAAATATAACTCCTTTCAATTTGAACAATGGGAACATACCAAACATGACACTTTGAAGAGAAAACTGGTTTTGGTGATGGAGGGTGCGTGTTCTATCATTTACTACGTTGGTCAAGACACTTCAAACACAGCGTATGCGGAGTGGCAGTTTACTGACACAAAATATTCTAGTCATGCTTAGTATCCCGTCTTCATTACTGATCACATGCAGTTCCATGACAATGTTACATGCGATAAACAAACGGGTACGGATGACACGGCTCAAATATGGCGATACCCGTGTCACGCTGTCATGCAGGTATTGGTATCTTTTGTGGGTCATATAGGCCGCGGTTTCAAAGGTTAGACTCCTCTAGAACAATTTTGACAATATGCAATACATCTGAAGATGTGTTAGCTCTGTTACATATCATCAACCTGGCATGTATACTCCCTAAATAACACGAACATTTCGTTTCTGTTCACCTGGTGCGCTCGCTTGTCACGCCCAGCTTGAGCGATGTTGATCCACTGCTACAGGTTGTAAACTCATCCATTGCAAACCAAGCCTATCAAAGTATGAACAGATTCGTGAATGTTTCGTCAGTACGACTTACCGTCAGGACCGACGCGTTGAAAACCTCCATCTCCTTTATTTGAAGCCATTATTTTCTTCTTGGGTGTACAGACTGTAGAAATACTATGTCCGCTCTCAAACGAGTCGCTTACAATTTATGGAACAGTCGACTGTGTCACGAGTGTGTGAGCCCGCGAGTTGTTGCTCAATGCACTCGGTGAAATTCCGTGTCTATTTCGATAACTTAGCCACACACTGACATGAGATTACTGCACGCAGTCTGGCTGACAAATGCTGTGCCCGGAATGGAAATTGCAGTCAAAACATGGACGCAAATACGAGATAATTGTGTTTGATCAACACAACAAACGCATCAATAACTGTTGATACGACCCCCGTTTTGACGTCACGAGGCGATAACAAGCACGTGACCCTGAGATATAGTTAGCATGGGATATTTCCACATGACGTCACATGACCTCATAATGTCTGGGAAGGAAGTGTAAATATGCAAGTACAAATACCGAATATACTGTTTTGATTATCTGAGTGCAATAGCAGAAATATGGCAATGTTTCGCAATCACAATGTTTAACAACAGGGTAGAGTATGAAAAGTAAATATAACGCTGTCTACGAATGCAGCGATCCACTCAGGTTATTTGCAGTAGCAGCTCGGTGATTCCTGATTATTGGGTTGACATTAATGGTCGAATCCATTCTAGATGGGAGTGTATGGCTGCAGACCATCACGGCTTTGTATCGACCGGTGTGTGTACATCACACATTTAGTAAACTTCATTCATGTCGAACCGCGTTAGTCCTGAACTCGAAGACATCAGCAACGTTAGCGACGCAACATCCCCGCCGAACAGGAACACCGTCATCGAGAGCGATACAGCACAACTTATGTCATCGTCGGCACAAGTCCATGCTATAGAAATGAGTTCCAGACCGAAATCTGCAAAGAGCGATGACTTTGTTATCGGAGGTGAGAGACTGTATAATCATTTACGAGCTGCCTTAACTACAGTTGTAAGCATGGCCGCTATCTTGGAAGCAAATCAGGGTGCAGGTGACAGGGGCCGGGCGCGAAATAATGTGACCTTAGGGGTTGTAGGCTGATATTAGATTCATTAATTTATTAAGTCAGTTGACAGGTGACGGAAAGGGGTGGTAAGGTGTTTGTTTCAGTTAATCGCTTGGGATTCTCGTGAGACGGTTTACATTTTGTCATCAATTGTTGCGTTGTTTGATTGTTTTTTTAAAATTCTTCTATTAACAGATATAGCTTTTACTCACCTGTGTGAAGAATTAGTACGTAATTCATATAGAATATTTATCATGCAGTGCTTGTCGTTACTGCCAAATGCACCTAGTTTGAACACTTTCAATCTTTTTGATTCTGTGTACTTGCACTGCCGTTGGCTAGCTATGTAACCAGGTGCAATCATTCAATCAGTTGTATTGCATGTTAATTAGTGACAGTCATGCATTCTAGGATAAATGAATTTGTAAGTTAATCTGCTACCACTTGCAAGTACCCAATTATCATTGCATATTCCAAGCACACCATATATGTAAATAATCCTTAACCACATACCAATATTCAAATGGATTTTACTTAATATCTGGTGAGCAAATGAATGGAAATAATCCCAACTTTGGGAGTTGTGCCTTGTTCACCAATGACTACATGTTCCTGAGAACATTTGCAAATTATTCTTCCATTTTCATGATTTTATCGTTTTCACAAATACTTGTTTGGTATTAAATTTGTGAAGATGGTACCAGACACTGTCCTAGGCATCCATTCTTCATTTATTATGTAAGCTATTACGACCTTCATGTACTGAAGGTTTTACAGGATCCAAATGATTGGTCTCAACAAAGGCATCCTAAAGCCAACAGTGTGCACTGACAACTTACACAAGCTGCACATGTTTCAGTTTCACAGTTCTGATCAATTCTTTTTTCACCTACCATTAGAATTTCAATGTTCAAACAAAGGCAAACTTGCTTATAAGAAATAATTGGATGGTACTGACAGAAAGCAAATATTAATGTTCACAGAAGATAAAGTCAATACCCTAAATGACAGGAATAATAGATTGAGCGTCCTTAGTTGGTTTACTCTAATAACATTTCAACAACATCGGAACTCTTACAAAAGAAATATGTAATGCATCTTTATAATAGACTTATTGTTTACAAATATAACAATATAATAAGTGCAGTGTAATAAAGTACACTTTTGCCCTGAACTATCAAAGTTAAAGTACGAGGACGCTTGCACAATTTATGCTTCCACGCATCAATACATTACCATATCCAGTGGGTCCTACCGGGGCCATTTTGAATTTGAATCAGCGCCTTCTGACGTTACGTTATGTTGATGAGAGTTATCTCCCATAAACATCTTTTGTTGCTGGCGGGTTCGATACGAGTAAAGTTAATATCTCAAACCCCTGCCTATCAGCCTAATCAGTGGTTCTGATATTGAAAATGTATGTAAAAGCGACAAAACCCCTTCAGAAATATCTGCCGAGATACATTTTACGTATCCGACTATATTAAGCAGGGGCGGATACAGCTTCTTCAGGTGTGTGTGTGTGTGCGCGCGCGCGTGCGTGCGTGTGTGCGCGCGTGTGTGTGTGTGCGTGCGCACACTATTGAGAAAGGGGGGGTGGGAGGGGTTGCACACTTCATTTCCACCCGAGTTTCAATGGTCATTTAACAAACTTTCACACACACACACTGACTGGATCCGCCTATATAAGACTAAGTGCACGTGTTTATGAGTCACACTTTGCTATGTAGCATTATAAACTATAAGCGAATGCACACTCATCGCGTTAGGGACCGTTCATAATTTATGGCTAGGTGGGGGCGATGATTTTTATGGAGGAGCATGTACAATGTGAATGCCCCCCTCCACAAAAAATAAATATATAAATAAAACAAAGTAAATAAATAAATAAAATATAAAAAAATCAATGTACAAAATAAGTGACACCCACCCCCACATGTCATGTACAAAATCAATTAACCCCACCCACCCCCCAGAACGAGCTATATATGTTTCTATTTTGATTGCTTTTGATTTTATGTTGTTATATTTTTATACATGTAACCTGTGAGTCTGCAGCTTGCCACGCCCCTATTTTGTCTTTTTGGAGCTTCTTGCGTAAATGGTGTAACAGCTGTGACACGAATATGCTTTACACAACGTCTAATTGTATGTAAATTGTCTATAAAGGTGTTGTCCATTGCAAATCGTGCTCCAAACGTGCACGGCGCTTTATGCAACGAGCAAACGCCAAAACTTTTAAGCCAGTGTCAAGATTCTAAGTAATTACGTCTTGTTACATGCATTTACTCAAGTATACTTGTATCGGTCTGTGTTTATAATTCAAGCAGTTCAGTTTGTGGAGAGTTATATTGGCACAATGCCACTGTGCCTGCGACTGGTGGGTTAGTGTAGTAACGGAGTAATCCCACCACAAGGTACACCCAGGGTACACCCAGAATGACATCACACATACACAAGTACATGGAGTATCGAACCCAGGTCGAGGGGACCCAACTCTCTGACCACCAGGCTATGTGATCGCGACCTTAGACTTTACATGCAGTATTATGAATATTTACCTCACCTGACTGAAAGTCAAGTAAGCTTATGTCCTGGGACGTTTGTCCGTCGTGTTTTGTCACCAACTTCGCCTAAAAAACACAGGCTCAATGAAGCTGAAACCTTACAAACTGGCCCCGACCAATGATAACACCCAAATTGGCTCAAGGGGATTGAATCAAATTTACACCCAAGCCATACTGATAGAGGTATCTGTGGCAATTACTCGGTAATGGAATGGTATTGTTATTGAAATATTACCGCCGTGATATTGCTGGAATATTGCTAAAAGCAGCGTAAAACCCAGCTCACCCACTATGGAAATGTTAAGGTAATGCGGTTGACCTTGTTTTATATATTTACCAAGCTATCAAATTTCAGACTGTGAGAACTTAACTTGGACATGTGTTGTTTCTCTTTATGATGATATAATAATTTATTCAAATTTTCAATAATAGATTTTCTTCAGTCTTTATACACAAAATCTTACTGCGACTGTTGACAACCTACCCGGGTGAGCTACAGTACCGCGGCGCGTTTACATAATATAGATTTGTTTTGATTACATCAAGTGCAGTTATTCCACAGTCACGGTGCAAGTAAACAGTAATGCGTGTAAAAGTAAGAAATCGTTGAACAGAAACAGACTTTTCATTACCACTACTCGTGCCGGGGAAGCAAGCAGCAACACATATGTCAACCAACTGCTCATTCGCTGCATGTGTCTGTGATACTGTTTAAAAAGCATCTAACGCCATATTTTTTTTTTTTTATGTTGAGCGCTGATCAGCGTCCTTGACATTGGGTCGAGATAATCAGAGAGCAACGTCAATACGGTTATCAACACAGGTCACATAACACATCAATGTTGCATCTGACTCAATAGATAATAAGGAAAGAAAGAATGAGCCATAGATGGATAGATACTAGTAGATAGACAGACAGGCAGACATAGATAGACTAGATAGATATATGTAGATAAATATAGATAGATAGGTATATGGATAGATAGATAGTGAAAGAAAGATAGATAACATTTAAACTCTGAGATGAATGCATTTGAAGGACTTTCTTTAATAAGTTATCATGTAATAACGAACACGTTTTGAAAACCAGTCGTCAGACTTCCTTTTTAGTGTAAAAGCGCTGGCTGAGTGGGTTAAATCTCTCACTTTGAATGCTGGCTGTTAGGTGCTTCATTCACAGGTTGTAGGATCGTATCCCAAATGTACGAGAACCTGTACTTTACAGAAAAAGTGTAATCCCAAATATGTTACATTTAACCACTTTCTTAACGACATTGTGTACTTATGTCTTTAAATACCTGTATCAGAATGGCGCGAAGACTGTCTGTTCATTTTCAGAAACTGTTTTTGAATATTGTGTTTCATGGTCTCTTGCTATATTTGCCCACGACATTGCACACGTCATGGGCTGAAAACATTCCAAACAAGATAAGCGTATGACATTTGTTGTATGTTTCATTTGTAGCCACCATCAAACCAAGATGTAGACTTTCTTTTGCCCGGTATTGTATAACCCGTCTCCGGACGTACACAGCTGCACTTACACAGGCTATCTCTACACAACATGCCAAATACAGCTGTGATGCATATTCAGTTTTACCGTGATTACAGAAGATCATATCAATTATTTTGCAATGCCAACAATGGGTTATTTCGCAATATACGTGATCCAGCATTTGTACATCCCAGTTGATGCTGACCTTCATGCTTTAGTCGTGATGTAACTTGTTTTACGCAGTATGTAACTAAGACGTCAGAAGTCACGTTGTGTTCGTGTATTTGTAAAGAGATGATGTGTCACAGCGAACTATTCATGGGACTGAGCGAAACGCCATTGTGTGAATATGTGACTCGGGGTTCAGTTAGTGAACCTAGCCTTCTATGTTCCTGGCGATTATACAATTATACCGTTTACATCAATAATACATACATAAAATAGTGTAGGTCACGGATGACCCAGTTGTCTAAAGTGGCGCAAGTCGCTATGCAGAGTTACGTCCCTTTGGTACTTGTTGGTCCCTGCCTGACGCTCGGCATTGATGGGTACAACAAGGACTGGTCGGCTCGGAGTCAGTATAATGTGTCTGAGTGGGGTATTCATGCTTCACTGTGGCATGGTATCTCAGTGGGCTAGCACTATAAAACCAGCTTTAGCCTGGGCTAGTACAAGCAGCCGCACATACACACGCATGCACGTTGTCATATGAGCGAAATATTCTCAAGCACGACGTTAAACCCAATTTCACCTCACCTCATCTCTCAATTCACTCTTATGCTATATCATTAATACACAAGGGGGACTACTCCGCTATCAGTATATTATAGAATGTCGTA